CGCCCACGCGAATTCGTCTCAAGTCGCGCGCGTGTTGGTTGCTCTGGGGTCGGCAAATCGTTCCGTTATTTCTTTGTTCTTCCGGCCAAGGGGGGGGCGGCAGGCCCGCCAATGGGGGGGCCTCCGCGGCGTCGTGGGAGGGGAAGGGCCCTTTCGGTGCAAGAAAAAATCGGCGCTGGCGGCGGGCTTGCGATCTCCCCGTGGTTATTGGAAAAATCGGCGCCTGCAGCGGGCTCGCGATCTTCATTCCATTTAAGGCTTCACTGAAAAATTGGCACCTGCGGTGGGCTTGCGACAAGAATTCGCGCTATGGCGATAAAATCGGCGCCTGCGGCGGGCTTGCCGCCCTTTTTTTTTTATCGCTTCAATGAAAAATCCGCGCCTGCGGTGGGCTTGCGACAAGAGTTCGCGTTCTGGCGACAAAATCGGCGTCTGCGGCGGACTCGCCATCCTCATGTTGGTTCAGGCTTCAATCCAAATCGGCGCCTGCGGCGGGCTTGCGATCGAAATTTGTTGTCTGGTGGTAGATTCGGCGCCTGCGGCGGGCCTACTCCTATGGTATATGTATATATGTTGAAGATGTGATAACAATCTATGTTCGCAACCTAATTTTTCCCTACTTTGAAACTGTTCCACATACCAGAACCTGTGCTATTACCTTCATTCCAAAACTCTGGGACCCCCCCCCGGGCCCGCCTGCTTTCACGCCGCCGAGGTCCTCCTCCGCTTCGTCGTCGTCCTCATCCCCCACCTCCTCCTCCTCCTCCTCCTCCTCCTCCTCCTCCTCCTCGTCTTCCTCTTCCCCATCACCTCCTCCCCAATCCTTCTCCCCCTTGTCCTCCTTCCCCCGAGACATCCGATGTTGTTTCATATGTTTGCAACGTGGAACCGCAGCGGTCTCGACCCAACCCCCGAGACTGGACTGAGGAATTGTCTGACGGTTCTGGGCCCAGGAATAGGCCCTCACAGGGCGAAGAACACCAAGAACTTCCCGCCGTGAGTTTCTCGCGACGCGACCATGTCAGGTTCCTGTTTCGTCCCCTCCTCCTCCTCCTCCACCTCCTCCTCCTCCTCCTCATATTATCCTACTGTCTCTGAGCAATAACATTGCCAGCATTGCCAGAATTCAAATAGTATTATGAATCTTCGTAATCGTAACGAGATCATCAATATTAGCGCTCTTCTTCTGAAAATGAGCAATCACATTCTGAGCTGGACCATGTGTAACCTGACTGCTATTGGTTTCAGTGTTCGGCTTCGCCGTCGGCTTCGTATCCGTTCTCATTGTCGCTCTTCTTCTTGATCATACTATTAGTATTCTTGTTCGTAGTATTGTGTATCCAGCATTACTCTTATTGGCCCTCCTCCTCCTCCTCCTCCTCATCCTCCTCCTCCACCGTCGACGCCGTCGCCGCCACTTTAACCTCCGCCTCCGCCTCCGCGTCCGCTTCCGCCTCCGCCTCCTTCTCCTCATCCTCCATTATCTCTCCCTCCTCCTCTCCCCCCACTTCCTCCTCCTCCTCTCCTCCTCCTCCTCTCCTCCTCCTCCTCCCTCCTGCCCCTCCTCCTGGCTTTCGCAGCCCTTGGGGGCGGTCGCTGTGAAGGACGCATGGGGCGCCGGCAAGGGCGTGCACAAGGCGAACGCCCGACGAACACCTTCACAATGCCCCCTGGGGTTCGGAATCCGGGGCGGCACCGGCACAAGAGGTACTGACGATACCTCAATGTTGACACAGCCCGGCGGCAAGGCCGGAGGTCTTGCGCACCTCGAGGTCTTCGCCTCAGTGGCTTCACTTCGGGTCAATACCTCGAGGGCACGTCGCGAGGCATTCGCCTGAAGGACTTAGGCCGGCGGCAAAGCCGGCGGTCCTGCACAATCAAGCTATTTCCGCTTACTATAGATTGCCTCCTTCTAGCGGATGGCCAACGGCCGTGCCAGCTGTCGCGCACAACGGATGATGCACACATGTCGCGAGGCATTCGCTTGAAGGACACAGCCCAGCGGCAAGGCCGGCAACCCTGCGCGATATCATTCCGTCCGACTACCATGGCTGTCTCCTGTTAGCGTTATTGCCAGTCCTCGTGCAATCGCAGAAAATATACGCATGTCGCGAGGCATTCGCCTCGTGGACACAGCCCGGCGGCAAGGCCGGCAGTCCTGCACCGTCTCACTCTTTGTGGCTACCATGGCATGTCTCCAATTCTTCGCTGGCCAGCGTCAGGGGCCAACTCTCGTGCGTCCACAGATTATGAACGCACGTCGCGAGGCATTCGCCTCAAGGACACAGCCTGGCGGCAACACCGGCAGTCCTGCACAATTGCACTATGCTGCCATTGTTATATCCTATCAGACGCCGGCAGTTTCAGTTTCAGCTTACGTGCATCCACAGATTGTGCGAGCATGTCGCGAGGCATTCGCCTCAAGGACACAGCCCGACGGCAACGCCGGCAATCCTGCAGAATCCCACGTTGTCCAGCTTGCATGGTTTGTCTCCGATCAACGTCATTGCAAGTTTTCGTCCAATCGCAGATAATGCCAGCATGTCGCGCGCCAGTGGCCGCAAGGACACAGCCCAGCGGCAAGGCCGGCAGTCCTGCACAGTCTCCCTTGGCGGCAACCATGGTTTGTCTTCTATTCGAACGATGGCCAGCGTCAGGGGCCAACTCTCGTGCGTCCACAGATTATGAACGCACGTCGCGAGGCATTCGCCTCAAGGACACAGCCCGGCGGCAAGGCCAGCAGTCCTGCACCATCGCACTCTGCTACCATGGTCATCTCCGATCAGCTCTAGAGGCTGATCAGCTTAAGTTTCAGCTTGCGTGCATCTACAGATTATGCCAGCAAGTCGCGACGCACTTGCCTCAAGGACACAATCTGGCGGCAAGGCCGGCAGACCTGCATAATCTCATTTTGTCCAGCTAACAGGGCTTGTCTCCTGTTAGACGCTGGCCAGCGTCTGGGCCAGCTTTCGTGCATTCGCAAATTATGCACGCACGTCGCAAGGCACTGGCCTCAAGGACATAGCCCGGCGGCAAGGCCGGCAATCCTGCATAATATCATTATGTCCGGCTACCATGGTTTGTCTCCTGGTAGACGCTGGCCAGCGTCCGGGCCAGCTTTCGTGCATCCACAGATTATGGTCCACAGCGTTCGCGGCGCCACGCGGGGGGGGGATGCAGCGTCCGCGAGCGTCGCGTCATACGGTCTCACGGCGAGCCGGAGCTTCGTGGCGCAATGGCCAGACCGAGCCAGCAGCGTCGGGCCGAAGCCTCTGCTCCAGCGCGGGCGCGACCCGCCGCCGTCGCCTCGCAGGCTGTTGCGCGGCGCGCAGGCTTGACTGCATCAGTCAGGCTCACGCCACGGGCTGGCAAGGGGAGCCCCTAGTAGGCCCTAGACGCCAGGCCGATAAGGCGATAACACCCTCTCGTGCTGCGCGGGCCTCGCGGCCCGCTCTTGCACGCGCCACGCTCGCCTTACCCTCCAAACCTTCTCGTCTCTCCTCCTACCTCCCCTCATCGTATTTGTTGCCACTCCAGATGGGCCCAGCTTGCAAAGGCCACGACGGGCCCCCTCCGATTCCGCATCCAAGCCAGCGCTCGTTGCGCAGTCAGCTGATCGTTATGGTTATTCTACGTGGCTGTGGATCGGTTGTGCTCTTCACGAGGAGCGTCAAGGGCCCCCCAAGCACCTTCAGTGACAACATTCGGTATCGCGCATTTTCTGGCAAGTTCGGGAACATCTGTTTCGATTGGGCGTGACGGCCCAGCCGCGATCGCAAGGTTGAGGTGTGCCGGCATATCCGCAATCACCCTCTGCCGCACGTTCTGGCCCTAGATTGTTGCGGCCGGCGGGGCGGACAAATCGTGCCCCCCACTCAGGCACCTTCCGAACACTTTTTAGCTGGACATCTCACATGTGCACTGCGGCGGCGCCCCGTGGGGCGAACAAATCGTGTTCCCCCAGGGCGCGCGCAGAACACCGGTTAGCTGGACAGCTCACCGGTGCACGGCGGCTGCGCCCCGCGGGGCGGTCAATTCGTGTCCCCTCTGGGGCACCTGCAGAACACTGTCCCCTCTGGGGCACCTGCAGAACACCGGTTAGCTGGGCAGCTTACCGGTGTCCTGCGGCACTGCGGTTGCTTCGACCTCGCGGCAGCACAGAGCGACTCGGACTCTGTCCCTCGCCCGCTGCCGCACGCTCTGATTCTAGCTGTTGCGCCCGGTGGGGCGGACAAATCGTGCCCCCCCTCAGGCATCCTCATTACAATGCTTAGCTGGACAGCTCACCAGTGCACTAGCTAGGGGTAGCAAGCCGCCCTGGCCTTGTAGTAGCACCCGGTGAGCTTCCACAGGACCTCCCTACATGGCTAGGGAGTCAGCGTCTGACACTATTCTGTGGGATGCCAGCTCATCCTCCGACCAGGCGATGTGACACGCCTTACGCCTCATCGCTTGCATGATAGGCGGCGACGTCACCTACCGCCTAACTGCATGCGTCGAACAGAGGTGACTGTCTCGGGCATGTCGACCACACGTACCGTCCACCATTACACGGTGCCTTCAACGGTCCCAGCACAGGCTCTGGGACCACAAAGGTTGCCACTCCAAGCTTCACGAGCACCGCTTCGGAATGGGAGAGCTCATGTGCCCCATCCGACTGACAGGGTCATGCCTACCCTCAAGGGCATCAGCGCTACACTACGATCCTCCTCGCCCTCCACCCTCCTCCTCCTCAACCTCCTCCTCCTCCTCCTCTTCCTCCTCCTTCTCCTCCTCCACCCTCTTCCACCCTCCTCCACCCTCCTCATCCTCCTCCTCCTCCTCCTCCTCCTCATCCTCCTTCTCCTCCCCCTCCTCCTCAACCCTCCGCCACCCTCCTCCTCCTCCTTTTCCTCCTCCTCCTCCGCCTCCTCCTCCTCCTCTTCTCTCCTCCTATTCCTCATCTTTCTCCTGCCCGCTTTCCAGCACGCGCTCAGCCGAGGGCCCCCGCCCCTGTCGGCCTTCAGACCGCCGAGCTGGACTTTGGCCCCAGTCTCCAGCACGAGCTTCGGAGGCGCCGCCTGGCCAACCCCAAAGAACAACGCGGGGGCGCCCGCCCGGCGCCCCCCCGACCTGGCCCCTTCTCGCCCTGGCCTGCATCTCCCCGAGGATACACGATCGAGCATCGAGGGGAAAGAGGGCGAGGAGGGAATGAGGGAGAGGGAGGAGGGAGGACGAGGTAGGACGAGGGAGGAGAAGGGAGGAGGTGGGAGGAGGAGGAGGAGGAGGAGGAGGAGGAGGAGGAGGAGGAGGAGGAGGAGGGGAGAGTTAGGAGGGAGGGAGGAGGGGATCGAGGATCGAGCATCGAGGATGAGGGAGGGCGGTCCTCCTCCCTGGGAGGAGGAGGAGGGGGAGGAGGAAGAGGAGGATCAAGAGAAGGAAGACGAAAGAGGATCCTCGCCCTCCTACTGCCCCTCACCTCCTTTGTTGCTGCTGCGCTTCCGCCAGTCTTCCTCGAGAAGAGTTGAGGAAGAAGCATACGCACTGCACCCGATACAGACAGGGGGACACCAGCAGACGGACCATGCGGGCACCGCATGCTCCCAGCACGTTGTGCCGCCTGGCCACTTAGGACGGAGGGAAGAGCAAGCAGACGACTGCAAGCATGCAGGCAGGAAGCCAGGGCCAGCGGGACGAGGCAGTAGGGCGGGCAGGCGGCAAGGGACACTGGGGTAGAGAGGAGGCAGGGGCGAAAGGGCGAAGGAGAGGGGAAGCGGGGGAGGGACAGGAGGAGCCTTCTCATCCTCCCCCTCATTCCCCCCCCCTCCTCCAAATGGCCGCATCCTTGTCCTCCCCGTTCTCTCCTCCTCTCCTCCTCCTCATCACCCCACTCTCCTGGAGGGCAGGTAGGTGGAGATCTGGCGCCGCCGCCACCGCCGCGGCCCTCGACGCCGCCGCGACGACGACGACGACGACGACGACGACGACGACGACGACGACGACGACGACGACGGCGGCGGCGGCGGCGGCAGCGGCGGCGGGGGCCGCAGCGGCAGCGGCGGCGGCGGTGGCGGCAGCGGCGGCCGCGGCGGCGGCGACGACGAATGCGGCTACGAAGACGACGACGACGACACTCCGCTGGAGGTATCAGCCCCGGGCCCCAGAGGTCTCTGGAGGCCTCTCGGGTCCAGAAAACAGCCGAGGACGTCGAAAGATCCTCGATCCTCGAAGCCCTCAACAGGCTCTGGGGGTAGAACCTCCCACCAAACCACCCTATGAAGAGTGGAATGCACGAGCGAATCTATTTTTCAAGTGTGGCGCGGGTGTTCCTCCTCGCACGTTGCCTCCCCGGCGGGGCGAACCTCCCCTAGGCAGAGGAAGGAAAACTTTGAAATGGGCTGCGGAGGGCGGGCGATTTGTGATGATGCAGGGCCCGTGTTTCCCTCCATTCAAATGGCGACGGAGGGCAAAGCTGCAGACCGTTCTGCCTCCCACCGTTTACACACGCCCCTGTTAAACACTACCTACGGTACAATGCCAACAGGCTCTGGGGGTGGAACCTCCCACCCAACCACCCTATGAAGAGTGGAACGCACGAGCGATTATAGTTATCAAGTGCGGCGCGGGTGCTCCTCCTCGCACGTTGCCTCCCCGGCGGGGCGAACCTCCCCACTTGAGGCACGCGCAAGGAGCCCGCGTTGACATAGCCTCTGCTTCCGGATCCCCGTGAACGAGGGGAAACACTTCTCGCAAAGCTCTTTGTGCAGTGCCGGCAAACATTGCACGCGCGACGCGTTCGTGGTACAGGAAAACTGCCACCCGCAGCGCGCAAAGCCCCACAGCGTGCCCGCCATGCCGTCGGACACCACCACCGCATGCACCAAGTGGGAATCACGATTTTGAATGTGAATGTCAACCTCCGCGGCTGCGACCACCGCCCTCTCCCGGACGTCCAGGGCGGGAGGTGAACCCAAGGCTTCTCCAGTTCCCTGAGGCCCCGTGGCGACCTCGGGAGACGTCTAGAGCCGAAGGATTTCGGCTGCCAGAGGTTTGCGAAACTGTTCCCACTCCACCGCCAACGTGCCCACGCGGCCCTCCACGGCAGCGACCGAAGACTGCACAGAGGCCGCAAGCGAGTCGATCTGAGCCCAGATGCTGGTCGAAGCTGCAGAACGCCGATGCTGTTGAGGCACTTCCTTAACTAGACGCGCAAGCAGGGACTCCAGGTCCAAGGGCAACGACGGCGACGAAGAAGACGACGAAGAACCCGCGCGCGCCCCTGTGGATGCCCGGGCGGCCCAAGCGTCAGATCCAGCAAGTGGGGCAGCACGGATGTAGCCTAAAACGGCGTCGCTTCCCCAGCGGCCGAGGAGCTGTATCGCCCACGTATCAAGTCCTAGCCTGGCCAGGCTCTGGGCGCCGCCAACACGAAGCGAGCGTCCTCCCCAAAAGGGCAACCCTTCCGCAGACCGCGCCAGCAAACCCAGCAGTCCAGCAGCCGCCTGGACGGTGGCGACCACATGTGCCTTATCGCACGTGCGCCCGTCCGAGGTGGGGAAAAGGGGCAACTCCGCGTCAGGAATCCCGGATTCATCGTGCCCAGCCGGAAACTGCGGCCGAAGACGCGCGCGCTGCACCCACAAGGCGCGCGCTGGGCAAAACTCGGACAATTGCCCACGTCCGCAGCAGCAGCCGTGGGTTCGCCCGAGACCGAACGCTCGAACGTCCGTTTTGGACGCCGGGACACCAAGTGTTCCCTCGCTTCCTCCGCCAGCCGCGTGGGCGGTAGCCGCCAGCGCATCGGCGGCCTCCATCGCTGGGGGGACCAGCGCCATGCCCACCCTCGATTTGTGATGCTGCAGGGCCCGTGTTTCCCTCCAGCCAAATGGCGACGGAGGGCAAAGCTGCATACCGTTCTGGCTCCCACCGTTTCCCCAAACCCCTGATAAACACTACCTACGGTACAATGCCGAACTTGGAAGCTCGATCTTTGCACACCCCGATGCCGACGACAATAATGAGGGGGTACGTTCGGGGGGGCTGACCCAGGGGGGGGACATCGACCTGGAATCGCCGATAGATCGCCGATAGATCGCCGATATGCCCCCGACAGCGAAACTACACGTTCCTGAGCTGGGGCGGGCTATCGGGCTTCTTATCGGCGATCAATGGGCGATCTGGGGTCGATGCGTCCCCTCCTGATCTTATCCCCCCCTAACGTTGCCCCTGACACGACGACGGCGGCAGCGGCGACATCGTTTTCGCAGGCGTCGCCTCTCGGCCTCGTCTTCGGCTTCGCCGTTTCCTCGGGGAACAACAAAAGCAATACCGCTGCTCCCCGGACCTCTGCTGGGGCGCGTTCCGACAAGACCCCCGAGGCGATTCCAGCGGTGGCGACTAGAACTCTCCGAGCTCTCCCGGGCGAGCAGCAGCATCAGCGCCGCTTCCTCCTCTGACCTTCGTCGTCGCCGCTCGGCGACAGCATCGGCGCAGTCCAGCGTCTCCAGCGGCGGATTCCCCGGCGACGCCGCTCGGCGGCGAGCGAGGTCCGGCCGGCCGGGCGGCCTGTGCCGCGGCACCGCTGGCGGGGGGGGCGTCGCCGTCGTCCGAGGAGCCCAGGGAGACGACCTGCCGCCGCCAAGGGGGCTGCTCGGACGGAGGGAGGGAGGGGGATCGATGGATCGTGGGGCTGGAGAATCGATGGATCGATTGTCAGAGGATCGATGGTTCGAGGTGTGAGGATCGATGATTGAGGCTCGAGGTTCGCGGAGCAAGGGGAGAAGGATGAGGATGAGCAAGGAAGAGCAGCAGCAGGAGTAGGAAGAGGAGGATGAGCACAAGGAGGAGGGGAGGAGGAGGAGGAGGAGGAGGAGGAGGAGGAGGAGGAGGAGGGGGGAGAGCGAAGGATGAGGAAGCCCTCGCCGTCCTCCGCCTCCTCATCCTTCTGCTCCTACTCCTCCTCCTCCGACTCCGACCCCGACTTCGACTCCGACTCCAACTCTGACTCCTCTTCTTCTTCTTCTACCTCCTCCTGATACTGCTCTTCCTCCTCCTCCTCCTTACCCTCCTTTCCCTCCTCCTGCGTCTCCTCTTCCTTCACAGTCCTCATCCCTCCCTCCTCCTTCCTTCTCCTTCCGCGCCTTCCTCCCTCACCCAGCGACTTCAAAGGCCAACTTGGACTTGAATTACAGCCAGCTCGAGTCTACATCCACTGTCTCTCCTACAATACGGGGCGAAGATCATGGTTCGAGAAGGGCTCATCTGGAATTCTGGTAAGGGCCTGTCAAGGTCAACGAACACCGGGACCTCGGTAGCTTCGCGGGAGGCTCCGACAAGTAGGAGTGTGCCAGGGGCAAGCCTGAGGCAGATAGGTTCGTCGGGTCCCTGAGCCCTCGGAGATGGCGAAGTTATCATATCAGCAGCTGCGTGCCGACGCCGCTTTATTGCTTTATGTAGGCAGGGCCCTTCCCTTGTGGCCTGATCCCAACCTAGGGCGTAGGACGAACAACTTGCAGGCAATGCGAGGACAGGAGGTTAGTTTGCTGGTAAAGGGCTGCTGCAGCGGCCGAGGGTTGAGGGACAGGGACGGGATGCTCCCGCACAGCGGGGGCACCTTCCTCGTCTTCCTCGGCTGCGCAACCGAGCAGGGCTGCGGGTACGACTGTCCCCCTGTACCCTCCTGGGGGAACCCTCTTCCTCCGCATTCTCCTTCTCGCGTCGTTACCCCCTCTCCGTCCCTGTCCCCCTGGAAGACAAGCACCGCTCGAGGTGGTTGCCGGACTCGCAGTGGTTGTGCGACCGACGTCTGGCTCGTAAGATTCATCGGCATGCCCCACCTGTGGGGCTAAACTGCCTAGGGTGCAACAAGGACCCAAGTGGCCATAAGCCGTATGTGGTCCGATCTCAAAAAGGGCATCTCACTGGGGGTCAGCGGATCAAAAAGCTGCAAACACCTTACCGTGCAAGGTCCGAGAGCGTGCACGCGGAGTCTGATTGGAAACGTTCCGCTCGACACCGACACCCCAACCATGCCTAAAGGCAATGGTGAGGTGCTGGGAGACCCAACCGTTACCTTCCCCCCCTTGACGCGCCGCTCATGTGCGCGCAATGCCAGCGCCCTGAGCTGTCCACCCCCCTTGCCTCCGCCGAGCTTTTGAGCGCGGGCCCGCTCCAACGCGTGTGCCCCGGCGTGGGGGAGGGGGGCGCCCGCCCCTCGGCGACGCCATGGTTGCGATCGTGCCTGAGCCAACACCCCGCTACGGATGAGGACGGCGCTATACCTTCACGCCCTCACGCCGCCGCCAGGCCGCAGTTGCGCCACCGGCCACGGCGGCGCGCAATGCGCGATTGGATTCGCAAACTTATCGCATGTCCCCCTCTCGCCCTCAGGCCATCGACTTCGTCGTAAGAAAGGCTGGCTATCGCGGCGGAGGCCTTAGGAGATCTCTGGGTGTCCCCCGGCCAGGGGGGACAAAACTCCCAAAGCCCAAAGACATCGATACCAGATCCTCGATCATCTCCCTTGCCCCCCACCTCCTCCATCGCCTCCTCATCATCCTCCTCATCATCATCCTCGTCTTTCTATTTCTCCTCCTGTTCCTCGCTCCCCTACCCTTTCAGAAGATTATCATCACGACTTGCATCCACAACTGATTCCTACTCCGATTCCTAATGAACCCTCTTTCCCCTCCGCCTCCTCCTCGAACGTCGAACCGCGAACCTCGAGCCTCGAGCCTCGGCGACATGGGTGGATAGTGGGAGGAGGATAATACGACACTAGCTGGAGCGGGCGCGCGAAGCAATGCCCGACAGAGATGGGCGAGGGCGGCAGTTAGCCATCCTCGAGCGCCTGGAAAAAATGACCAACCACATCACCACGAGGATCTCGGGCGGAAGGCCACAGGAACAGCACGGTGGGTTGAGGGCTTAGGGAAAAGTGAGTGAGCCGCGGGGAGTACACCGATGAGGGTGCTCCACTTTCGCGGCTACGAACCCCCAGCTCCACTGTTAGACGATTGGCCCCTCAGGAGCCTGACCCAGAAAACTTCAGGGTCATCAGCACGAAGTGGTCGAGGCGCTGGGACTCGCTGGGAATCCTCCCGCGCATCGTCCGAGGGCTGAAATCCCGGGAGAAAAAGACGGCGGCTCCCCTGGGCCCTAATTATCGCTCAGCAGGTGCCCAGGGTTTGAGGAGAGGCAATCAACTAAGAGCTGACCTGCCGCACCCGCGGTGGAAGAAGCCACAAGAAACGCAAAGGCAAACCTTCCAAGGGGCCACCCAAAGCCGATGGCCTTTGGCGGCCTGAGACGGGACGGGCCCATTAGGCGGCAGGGCCTCAGCGGGAACGGTGATGCTGCCTAAGGACGGCCTGGGGCGATGAGGCCCCGCTCGCCTCCTCTTGCCGGGGCGGAAGGCAGGACCCGACCGAGGGGGTATCACAGGACTACCCAGGCCGGCTAGAGCTCTTGGCTGCGCCATGCCTGTGTCACCACGAAGAGAAGGTATGGGTTCAAAACCAACCCTCCGCCTGACTTTGTTTTCTGCGTCCTGACCCACTGCGCCGTCGGCAGTTGCCATCCCTCACATGGCTGGGCGAGCACACAATCACTGGACCACTTTCGCAAACGGTGATCGGGGGGGTGGGAGACCTCGTCCGACTACGAAACGGGCGAACGACAACAGGAGGAGTGGCAGCAGGCAGAACAGCGCGGGACTCGGGGCTCGCAGCGCTGGGTGGCAAGTCCCCGCTGCAATCCTGTCCGCCCTCAGCGACGCCCTGGCGCGCGGCATCAGGGGGCCTCTCAGCGCCATGACCGTGAAACCCCTGAGCCCTAGCAAGGCAAGCGTCAAGGGAGAGACGACGACGGGTCTCCTCATGCTTAGAACCCTTCCTACAAAACAAATACCTCCAAATGCTCCGCGTGGGCACGGGGGCAAAAACGTGCCGCCTGTGGGCCGAGCTGGCAGACTAAAACGCCCGGGCGGTCTCTGTGGTCTAGTTCCGACGCGGTGGCCATCGAAACAGGGCTGAAGGGGCATGAACTCCCCAGTGCAAAACATGCATGTGCTGCTTGTGCCCTACCATCATGGCCTGGCTGAAGACCCGAGGGCAACGTGTATCTCTACCGTTGCGGGTAGCAAGGTCAGCCCACCTGTTGCCCATGGCATCATTGCGCTGTCCACGCTGATGCCCCTTGACGAGGACCTCCGTGGCATCTTCCCCCACTTCGCCCAGGTCCTGCAGCCTGGTCCAGATGCGCCCCCACAAATCGACGCCGACGCGCCGCGGGGCGCGTCGCCAACTGGGCCCGTGGGCCAGACCGCCCAGGAGGCCTTCGCAGTCCGCGTGGGCCACCTTGGAGGGGGGGCAAACCAGGATAACCTGGAGGAAAACAAAAAGTCCGGCCCTGGGCGAAGTTTGTATGGGGTCAGGCAGGGCCCCCCGAACTAAAAATGTCAACGCCGTGCCCCATGGGTTCCCGTAGTTGGCAGAAACCCCATCCAGCTCTGGCAGCCGCTGGCCAATGCCAAATCATTGAGCAAGCCCCGTCCGTGTATATGGCCCCTGTTCTTCCTTGCGGACCGCCGCGTCGAATGCGCCAACGGCTAGAGTCATCGCGCATCGGGAGTGACGGGGAACAGAAGCGACTGATGAGCCCGCGGGCCCGAAACAGGCCGTCGGGTGTTTTGGCGGGGAATCCAACAAAGTTGATCGAGCCGCAGCGCCGACCCCTCGAATACGCAAGGCGAGGGTAGTCCCACAGGGTGTGGTATAAGTCACAACCCAACTGCGCACACTTCGGGCAGGAGCTGTCGTCCCGGTAGCCACAGATCGCCAGTCTAGCGGGAGTCCAAAGGCCTCTTCTGTTGTCTTGTTGCTGGGATGCCACGTCGCTCGTACATCTAGCTCATCGTCACCAGCTTCGCCATGTGGAGAGTCAGGGGGGACGTCACCATCATCGCCAGTGCCAGTAGGATCAGGCACAGGCACTCTCGTAAGGAGTTGTGTAATGGGCCCCATCCAATATCCACTAGGTTCACGAGGTATGGGGGGATCACCAGGGAGCGGGGGTCGTCGACGCCATCGTTCCCAGAGTCGCTTGACCCCGGCCTCTCGAGCAAGCGGTTTGATAGTAGCAAGCGCAGTAAGCCCCACATCCAAGACGAAACCAAGATCCGCCCTCCAGGTGGCGCGGCTAGTAGTGGCCCATTGGAGGTCCTCGAGAGCGAGCGGGGCGGCTCCAGCAGGGCCAGCAACATTTCTCCAGGGGGGCCTTCGAGAGGTACACCTTCTGGGTTTGCCTAACCCAAGCAGCCTGCAAGATACGATTGGGGACCATCGGGCCCCTCACCAGATAGGTCCATTGAAATAGCGGGGCGGTACATGCCTCAATCTGCGGGCCCGAGCACTGATACCCTTGCATGCAAGAGGTTAGCCAACAAGAAATGGAGGACCCAGCCAAGTGCCATGCAACACGCGGCGCCGACCGCATCTGCTCCACCAGTATGGGTGGGGCGCCGTGCACGCCCAGTCCATGCGTCATAGCAGGTGGGAGGGCCTGCTTGTGAAACTTGCTGGGCAAGGAGCCAGCGTTGCGCAGTGCTTGCAGCCGGGGCCTGCGTCTAG